GCATTATTCCTAAATAGTTTCCTTACTATAACTACAGGTTTGCGTGCTGCCCCGGCATACCTGCAAAACATTCACTCCATTGATTATAGTACTTCAGCAGCTTGCTCAAGCAAGTGTAAGTCCTTGGGAGGCATATTCCAGTGCTGGTATCTTCAGGGTGAACCCCAAGATAAAAGTCTCTACATGTGGACCATAATACACAACATCCTATCTGCTATTCCAGGTGCCATCTTCAGTCTCAATCCCCTATGGGTCTCACGACCCACAGCTGCACTGGAACTCTCCGGACTTACACGCCTCTCTCTTTTACTCTTCCTCTTCCTGAGCCAGACCACTGACCCAATTTTTATATTATACAGGACAAGCGGGACTGAGACAGGAACCCGCCAAAGAGGCCAAGGAACGTGGGATTAACTCTTACCCCCCTGGCCGGGACAGCACCCAACTAACTATTTCAACCTGCCCACAAGCCTTTTTCTGTTATAGCTTTCCTCCAAATACTGTAACTTTCCTTTCTTGTTCTTTGGCAGGGCCTGCTTTGATGATCTTCAAACCAGTAATATTACAGTATGGCTGACCCTGGACTATGTTTGTGACATCATATACATCATTGACATCGTAATCCGATTCCGTACAGGTAATTTTAGAGGGCTAACAATAAAAAAAGATTATCAGAATAAATCATATGAGCCTTTGCTGGTATATCTAGCAGTAGTCGAGTATTGTACTGTTAGCCATCAATAAATGCTCCTTGTAACTTTATATATAATTAAATAGAAAAAGAAAGTGCCGGTAAGGCACTTTCATGGTACTCAAGCTATTTAGGCCAGTAATTCTCAACCACTAGGCCATGGTCCCACTGCCAGGCCGTGGATTCCCACCTTCCAGTCCTTGAGGTATTTGCAGATCCCCCTACCTCCCACAGTGTTTCCCAGCTCCTGCAGTGCCCCACAACCTCCCACAGTGCTCTCCAACCTATTTCAGTGCCTACTGCAGAACCTCAAGCTCCCACATTGTGCCCCAGACCTCCAACAGTGCCCCTCAACCTACCATACAGTCCTCCAACCTTCCACAGTGCCCTCAGCCCCTGAAGCACCCTTCATTCTCCCATAGTGCCCCTGCAAAGTTCCCAGCCTCCTGGAGAGACCCCCAGCCCCCTCCAGGGACCTCCATCACCTTTAGGAGCCACCAAGTCTGCTGCAGAGTACCCTAAGCCCCTTCAGAACCCCTATCTCCCAACAGTGACACCCAGCCCCATCCAGAACCTTCCAGCCTTTATATTCAAATTTTGTGTTTCCTTACTTTTATTGCATGAGTAATTAAAGCAGAGTCCCAGCCCCTGCCACCTCCCAAAAAAATAATAAAAGTCAGCAGCTGACTTTTAATACTAGGGCGCTTACCTGTCCATGCATCCAGCAGTGTCCTGTATATGGCAACCCTCACCAAAGCATTGTCTGTAATGGACCACCTGACAGCACCTCTATCAATCCTCTGGCAGAGCCTCCCCAGAGTGCGGAGTCTAAGCACCGGAGCACTTGTTCACCAGGGCCCCTGATGGTGGGGATGGACTTGGACCGCTACGGTACCAGGTTGCAGCTGCTAGGTATCTCCAACAGGGGTAGAGGAGTCTGACAGGAGCTCCAGGGGGCTAAGAGTCTGATGTGAGGGAGCCTAGTGATCCCTGTGGGATGGATGGATGAGCTAAATCAGAGTCATACAGGCCGGGTCGGTAACTAGCGGGTCGGTGAGGTACAAAACGGTAGGCAAAGGATAGTCGGGTCACACGCAGGGTCAATACCAAAAGATCAGATTTAAAGGGGAACATCCAGGAGCAGAGTCAGGCAGGCCAAGGGTCAGGACAGGAGAAGGCAGCAAGGTCAAACAATCCAGATCAAGATACTCATAACACAGGTAACAGCATACAAAGACCATTCGGCAACAAGTGTTTGTGCAGAGCTGGTTTAAATAGCCCGCCCTGCACCTGAGAGGCGCAGCCTAGGTCCTAGTGCCTGCCTAGTACTGTCAAGACGATGGGTGCGCCTGGGTCCTAGTGCCTGCCTAGTACTGTCAAGACGATGGGTGCGCCTGGGTCCTAGTGCCCTGCCACCTACACGTCTTGGCAGACACCTACGCCTGTGTAGACCCATGCGTCGCGATGGTCCCTGACATTGTCACATCCATATTGCATAAATAGCCTCCTTTGACAAATGCCTCTTCTATAACAGTTACATGTGCTAATTGGCAAAATATCCATTGGCTTGATGGCCCTTCAGAAGGACATTAAAGTAGGGCTTGTGCAGTCCTGATGTATGAGAGTGTAGGCAGTTTACTGCATTCATGTGTGTTATTCACATATCAGCTAAACTCCTTGGCTTTGTTCAACCACATGTAGCCAACCCAGCACCAATTATTCAAAGGAGACTGAAAAAGACACAACAGAAGCTGCTCTATGTCCTTCCACTGGACTGTATGAGCAGGATGGGTGGGTTACCCTTGGGAGACCCTCGTTGTGCTCCTCTATCCAGCCACACATAAATATTTGAAAGCCAATCCATCCACCATCATTGAGGGCCAAGTTTAGAATTATTTCATCTAGTCATTGTTGTGCTTTTTAATCATGTGATGTGTGTAACTCTAAATATGCATGTTTCCAAACAATTTCAGGTGAGTACTCAAGTTGTAAAGGCTAACTCTAGGAGTTTTCTGACATGACCCTCCTTCCTTTTTGAAGCCCCACCTACATAACTTTGTAAAAATAATCTATTAGACACATATTTTTTCTACAGTTTTCAGGCTGGGTCAATGATAACACAGGTTCTCCTTCTTGTCCTCCAAAGAAAGCTGTGGGCAATCCTGACTCCTGGGCAGCATAATATAATATTGTTTGAGGGCCAATCTGCTCACAAGTACTGTGAGATCAGGCTAGCATGATGATATGCCCCCCAGAGGGGAGTGTCTGTGACAACCAGCCATTCTCAACCAGGGTTCTGGGGAACCATAGGGTTCCTCTAGAATTTGCTTAGGCTTCCTTGAGCTGTGGCTAATTGACCCTGATGGTGCCTGCATAGTTCCAGGGCCCACACCACTTGGCAGAGTTAGCAGGATGACACCAGTGATGTTTTTAGCTTGTAGGGTAGGCGGAGCAACACTTCCTCCATGTTCCCCTCCTTGTTGGGTGCTAAGTGTGGGTCACATAGGAGGCTTAACCAGGGGTGGGTTCTTGTGGGCAATGTTAAGCACCTTGTATAGGGTCACTGCCTTACACATAGGGTACCTTTACTTGATTAGACAATTGAACTCTAGTTGACTTAATATACACTACTACCAGGGGTGCACTGACCATTTGGAAACTTCGGCACTGCCCGAGGGCCCGGGGTCAGTAGGGGGCCCCATGAGATGCTCCTGGTACCTTTTTCATAGACTTTTTTGAGTTTGGGCAAGGACACAGGGGCCCCATGATCCCCTATTGCCCGGGGGCCCCATGAGTTGTCAGTCCGCCCCTGACTACAACTGTCACTTGCATTTAGAGGGGACACGCTGAGCTGATGCTCTCCACCTGTCCAGGGCATCTTCGCTACCTCACTTCCAGTAATGGAATGGGGTCCCGCCGTGCACCTAGCGCACAGACTCCATGTGTGTGCTCACTTAATTCTTCCTCTTCTGTACCTGTGCACAGGTTGAGGACCTCTGCGGTGCTGATCTGCTCCTGTTGCTATGGGAGATGGCTCGCTCATGGAGAGAGTGCTAACAACAGCTCCCTCTGCAAGAGGTTATCCTACCTGTCACAGGCACATACTTACGACAGGCTGATAGTTAGACCTTTGTTACCCTTGGTAACCACTTCATACCCCAATGTGCCTTAGTTGACCCAAGGCATAGACTATGTGTGCCACTTGCCTTGCACCTCTTTAGTAACTTCAGACCAGCCAAAGACAAAGTTTAAAAAGATTTACTTTAATAACTTGGCATGATAGTCAAAGGCAACATTTGTTCCCTAAACCAATCCCTAACTTAGGTTTATGGCTGCCACAGCGTACCTGCACAGGAAAGAGTCCATATGAGGAAAAATCCAAGATGGCAGTGCCCAGGGTTGGTATCTTCAGGGCTTATTGCAGGTCCCAGCAATCTGGCTCCTGAAGCCAGATGTTCATTAGCAGGCACTCTGGACTCGGCATGATACAGCAGGCTGACATGACGGACTCCGACAACGGCATGAGCAGTAAGAACAACAATGGCAGCAGCAGTGACCGCCCCCCCAAACCAATCCCCCCCCCCGATCTGGGCCCTTGTCTCATTTACAATCACACAGGACCGGTTCCTCTGGGGTAAAAAGGTTAAGAAAGGTTAGACTAGACTCAGGGAAAGTTGGTTAAATGTTGCTGGGCAGGGTAGCTGAATCACTGAGAGCGAGTCTGCAAGGGACATTACTGGAGAGAAGATGAGTATTACAACGAAAGCTGTGAAAGTGAATTTGGGCTTTAAGAAGTTGTGTAGACATCTCCAGAGTTTGGAGAGCTTTCCATTATTCAGAACAAGAAGTGATGAGAAATCTCTCCAATGATGACACTGATGGCAGTAAAAACATGATGGGAGCTTAAACCCTGCACTACTTTATCCAAAAAGAAATAAAATGTTTTGGAGCTTCTAGAAACTGTTGTTGATGTCTCATATACTAATTATGCCAGGATACGTTTTTTGCATTATGCTTTATTCCATAAACCTATGTCAGATTATGTTTCCTAAAGTGAACATTACAACCTTGTAGGCATGCAAAATTCAAATTGGCCATCTATAATTTTTTTCTCTTCTATCTTTTTTTTTCAAGGATTTTTGGAACAGGGATTGTTGGTTAGAGATACAAAAATGTAATTAACAACTATATCAAAACCTTGCAGTTCAAACTGAATGTTGTTTCAATACTTCCAACTGATCTTTGTTATTTGGCAATTGGAGTGCATCACCCAGAGCTGCGCTTCAACAGACTTCTCCACATTCCACGTATGTTTGAATGCTTCAATCAGACAGAGACTCGGACCAGTTATCCCAATATCTTTAGAATCTTTACCCTAGTTTTATACATCATACTTATTATACACTGGAATGGCTGCATTTATTTTGCTATATCTAAGGGCATTGGTCTTGGTGTAGATTCATGGGTCTACCCAAATATTACTGATCCTGAATATGGTTACCTTGCTCGTGAATATGTCTACTGTCTGTACTGGTCCACTTTGACTCTCACCACCATTGGGGATACCCCTCCCCCTGTTACCGACATAGAGTATGTTTTTGTAATTTTTGACTTTTTGGTTGGAGTTTTGATCTTCGCCACCATCGTTGGTAACGTGGGCTCCATGATCTCAAACATGAATGCAACGAGGACCGAGTTTCATGCTAAAATAGATGCCATCAAGCATTACATGCAGTTTAGAAAAGTAAGCAAGGATTTGGAGGCCAGGGTCATCCGATGGTTTGACTACCTATGGACAGTTGAAAAGACAGTGGATGAAAGGGAGGTGTTGAAAAATCTCCCCGACAAACTGAGAGCCGAAATCGCCATTAATGTTCATCTGGAAACTTTAAAAAAGGTGGGTTATTTCTTTCAAGTCAAACACATGTTTTCTCATATTCAGTTTCCAAGACACCTTAAATACTTTTAAATTTTGTAGAAAATATTTGACTGAGATACCTATAATGGGCAACATATTTCAGGGAATGCTTAGTCAGCGGTTCTTGGTGCCATTAGGAAACGCTAGTCCTTATCCAGCTTTAACACAAGTCCTTTAGTGTATTCCATCATGATTCTAACAACATCCAAGGCTCAAGCCCTGAAGTGGGAGGCTTTTGCCCTAAAACACATTGGGTAACCAATAAACTTTATAAAAAAGACCTTTAAATGATAAGAACTTGGCTCGGCATAGGACCCAGAAGACATCGGCAACCACTTTAGTAGCTACAACTACTACAGTGATTTCCAGCTTCCACAGGGATCCCACAGGTATGGAATAAGCATATTTACATTGGTCCAAGCTGGACCAATGTAACTTCATGCCTGGAGTTCTGTTTTAAGTTTCTGATTCATTACCATCTCTGATTTACACCCCATGTTTATATCCCAGGTTCGGATCTTCCAGAACTGTGAAGGCGGTCTCTTGGTTGAGTTGGTCCTTAAGCTCCGTCCTCAGGTTTTCAGCCCCGGCGATTACATCTGCCGTAAAGGAGACATTGGAAAAGAGATGTACATAATCAAGGAGGGGAAGCTTGCTGTTGTCGCAGAGGATGGAATAACTCAGTATGCTGTCCTCACTCCAGGGAGTTGTTTTGGTGAGATTAGTATCCTCAAACATCGAAGGGAGTAAGATGGGAAATCGTAGGACTGCCAGTATTCGGAGCCTTGGGTACGCAGATCTTTTCTGCCTTTCGAAGAACGACCTGATGGAAGCTTTAGTAGAGTATCCAGATGCCAAGAAGATCTTGGAAGAGAGAGGAAAGGAAATACTGACCAAGGAAGGCCTGCTTGATGAGACAAAGGAGAAAAATACGATGAACGGTAAATCTCCGAAGAAAAATTGGAGCTTCTGGAATCCAATGTGGATCTCTTACACACTCGCTTTGCTCGTTTGTTACGAGAATACAGTTCTGATCAGCAAAGCCTCAAGCAAATGGTCACCCTCCTAGAAGGCAGATTAAAGGACTTTCAGGGGCGAGACGTATCCTCAGATGAGATGTAAAGGAAAAGTATCAACTAATAAAATTATATTACTGCTTCATGAAAGGTTCCTTATGTAAAATGATTTTGAAACTATATAAAAGTTTAATCTGCATCTATTTTGCCTTCCATGGTTCACCTCTATACCTTTTCTTCAGCAAGCTGTGTGCCTGATCCCCCCCCCCCCCCCCCAAGATCCTTTTTAATTAATATGAATTTTAAAAGTGTCCTTTGCTACATTCCTGTGAGAGTAGAACAATTCATGAGCTGTGTGTATAAGATTTTATATACATGTACACCGAGAGAACAAGATCTGTTAAGGATGCTATATTTGTTTTGCTTAGATTCTGCTAAAGCAATGGTCCCCATACTACGGCCCGCGGTCCAGATGCAGCCCTTTTCCCGGCCCTTGGGGCTTAATTCTACCCTCTGAAACCAACGAAGGGGCAGTATTCCTCCCACTGATGCCAACAATGGGATACTGTTCCTTCCACTGACACCAACATTGGACGGGTCATCATTCTTTCACTGATTCCAATGATGGGCCACTATTTTTTACACTGACAAGAAGGATGGGGCATAATTCCCCCCACTGATATAAACAATGGAACACCATTCACCCTACTGACACCAGGGTAGGTTAGTATAGTGACTGGTTAGGGTAGTATAGTGACAGGTTAGGGCAGTAATAGGGCAGGTTAGGGCGGTATAGTGGCAGGTTAGGGCAGTATAGTGACAGGTTAGGGTAGTATAGTGACAGGTTAGGATAGTATAGTGACAGGTTAGGGCAGTATAGTGGCAGGTTAGGGTAGTATAGTGACAGGTTAGGTTAGTATAGTAGCAGGTTAGGGCCAGGTTAGTAATAGTGGCAGGTTAGGGCAGTACAGTGGCAGGTATAGTGGCAGATTAGGGCAGTATAGTGGCAGGTTAGGGTTGTATTAGTGCAGATTAGGGTAGTATAGTGGCAGGTTAGGGTTGTATAGTGGTATAGTAGGCAGGTTAGTAGCAGGTTGAGTATAGTGGCAGGTTAGGGTTAAGTTATAGTGGCGGGTTAGGGTAGTATAGTAGCAGGTTAGGGCAGTATAGTGACAGGTTAGGGTTAGTATAGTAGCAGGGGTAGTGATAGTAGCAGGGATAGGGCAGTATCTTAGTGGCAGGTTAGGGTAGTAATAGTGGCGGGTTAGGGTAGTAGTATAGTAGCAGGGGCAGTAGGGCAGTTATAGTGGCAGGGTTAGGGTAGTATAGTAGCAGTTTTAGTGGCTATAGGGCAGTATAGTAGCAGGTTAGGTGCAGTATAGTGCAGGTAAGGGCAGTAATAGTGGGCAGGTTAGTGTTAGTATAGTAGCATGTTAGGGCAGGTAGTATAGTAGCAGGTTAGGGCAGTATAGTGGGTTAGTGTAGTTAGCAGGTTAGGTAGTATAGTGGCGGGTTAGGGCGGGTAGTATAGTAGCAGGTTAGGGTAGTAGTAGGCAAGTTAAGGGTATAGTGGCAGGTTAGGGTATAGTATAGTAGCAGGTTAGGGTAGTATAGTAGTGACAGGTTAGGGCAGTATAGTGTGACAGGTTAGGTTAGTATACGTAGTATAGTGGCAGGTTAGGGCAGTAGTAGTAGTGCGCAGGTTAGGGCAGTAGTATTTTGTAGGGCACAGGTAGTGTGACAGTATATAGTTACAGCAGGGTTAGGATAGTATTAGTAGGGCAGGTTAGGGCATTAGTATAGTGGCAGGTTAGGGTAGTATAGTGGCAGGTTAGTGGCAGTAGTATAGTAGCAGGTTAGGGTAGTATAGTAGCAGGTTAGGGCAGTAGTATAGTGACAGTATAGTGGCAGGTTAGGTGTAGTATAGTACAGGTTAGGGTATAGGGACAGTATAGTGGCAGGTTAGGGTAGTTATAAGTGAGTCGGGTTAGGGGTAGTAGCAGGTTAGGGCAGTATAGTGGCAGGTTTAGTAGGGTATAGTATAGTGGCAGGTTAGGGTAGTATAGTAGCAGGTCTAGGGTAGTAGGCAGTATAGTGGCAGGTTAGGGTAGTATAGTAGCAAGTGGCAGTTAGGGGTTAGGGTAGTATAGGTAGCAGGTTAGGGTAGTATAGTAGTTAGGGCAGTATAGTTGAAGGTTAGGTAGTATAGGTTGTAGCAGGTTTTGGGCAGGTTAAGGTAGTATAGGATCAGGTTAGGGCCAGTAGTATGGCGGCAGGTTAGGGCAGTATAGTGGCAGGGGTTAGGGTAGTATAGTGGCAGGTTTGGGCAGTATAGTGACAGGTTAGGGTAGTATAGTGGCAGGTTTAGGGTAGTATAGTAGCAGGTTAGGTGGGCAGGTGGGCAGTAGTACAAGTGGCAGGTTAGGGTAGTATAGTAGCAGGTTAGGGCAGTATAGTAGTAGCAGGTTAGGGTAGTATAGTAGGTTAGGGTATATAGTGGTTAGGTTAGTATAGTAGCAGGTTAGGGTAGTATAGTAGCAGGTTAGGGCAGTTTAGTCTAGCAGGTAGGGTAGTATAGTGGCAGGTTAGGTTAGGGCTAGTATAGAGTAGCAGGTTAGGGCAGTATAGTGCAGCAGTATAGTGAGCAGGTTAGGGTAGTATATAGTAGGCAGGGCATATAGGGCAGGTTAGGGTAGTAGTATAGTAGCAGGTTAGGGCAGTTTAGTAGCAGGTTAGGCAGGTATAGGGGTTTAGTATATAGTAGCAGGTTAGGGAAGAAAGTTAGGGCAGTATACTGGCAAGTAGTATAAAGGTTAGGGCAGGTTATAGTGGAAGGTTAGGGATTCAGTACAGAATATAGTGGCAGATTAGGGTGCAGTATAGTGGTAGGGCAGTAGGTTAGGGTAGTATAGTAGCAGGTTAGGGTAGTATAGTGGCAGGTTAGGGTAGTATAGTGGCAGGTAGAGGGGTTAGTAGATAGTGAGGGTAGGTTAGGTATTATAGCATGTGTAGGGAGTATAGGTTAGGCAGTATAGTGACATGTTAGGAGTATAGTGTCAAGGCAGGGGCAGCTTAGGGTGTAGTTATAGTGGCAGGTTAGGGTAGTATAGTGCAGGTTAAGTTATGTAGAGTAAGCAGGTATAGTGACAGTGGGCAGTATAGTGGCAGGCTTAGGGTAGATATAGTGACAGTTAGGGTAGTAGAAGTGTGGTTTAGTGGGCAGGTTAGGGTATAATAGTGGGTACGGGTTAGGGTAGTTAGCAGTGACGGTCAGTTAGGGTAAGTATAGTAAAATAGACAGGTTAGGGTAGTATAGTGGGCAGGTTAGGGTAGTATAGTGGCGGGTTAGGTTAGGGTAGTATAGTGACAGGTTAGGGTAGTATAGTGACGGGTTAGGGTAGTATAGTGACATCGGGTTTGGGTGTAGTATAGTGGCAGGTTAGGGTAGTATAGTAAAGTTAAGGGTAGTATAGGGCAGGTTAGGGTAGTATAGAGTGCCGGGTTAGGGTAGTTATGCAGGACATATAGGGTAGTAATAGTGACAGGGGTATAGGTAGTATAGTGCAGGTTAGGGTAGTATAGTGGCGGGGTTAGGGTTATAGGGTAGTAGTATAGTGAGGGGTTAGGGTAGTATATAGTAGACAGGTTAGGGTAGTATAGTGACAGGGTTAGGGTAGTAGTATAGTGACAGGTTATGGGTAGTATAGTAGGACGGGTTAGGGTAATAGTGACAGGTTAGGGTAGTATAATGGCAGGTTAGGGTAGTATATAGTGACGGGTTAGGGAGTAGTATAGCTGACAGGTTTAGGGTAGTATAGTGGCAGGTTAGGGTAGTATAGTGGGCAGGTGTAGGGTTGTATAGTGGCAGGGGTTAGACGGGTTAGTATAGTGACGGGTTAGGATAGTATAGTGGGGTTAGGTTAGGGTATTATAAGTGACAGGTTACTTAGGGTAGTATAGTGACGGGTTAAACTAGGGTAGTATAGTGGCAGGTTTAGGGTAGTAATATAGTGGCAGGTTAGGGTAGTATAGATGGGGTAGAATAGTGGCAAGTTAGGTGTGGCTTTGGAGGGGAACAATTAAAAATCTGGGGGGCATAGCTCACTCCCAGCACCCCCCTAGATCTGGCCATGTATCCATCTAAACAACCCCTGAAGGTTAAAACAGGGACTGCTAGATCAATGGAAGGGTGCATTTGCCAGGGAGCTGGAACCGCAGAACTGAACGTGGGAACACTGGTGTCAGATAAGCAGAAGAACAGTGATGAGGACACCCCGACTTTACCCATACCAGCAGAGGGCAGAGCCAGATTTGGTACGCGCGGAGCTAGGAGGCACTACATTATGAGCATGGATCAAGGTAAAAAGACGAGCAGAGGTACAGGATTGATTTTGATCAAGAATCAAGGCTGAGGCCGATAACAAGCATGTTTAGGATAAAGGATAACAGAGATACAAGCTGAAAGACCATCCAACAATAAATCCATGCAGGACTCAGGTTTTACATAGGCCACTAGGTTCCAGTATCTGTGGTTGATATGCCCAGGCATCCATGTGCATGTTGTTGTGCTTGTATTCCTATGCGAATGCACACGAGCGCAAGCCTTAAGACTGGCATGCTCTCTCTGATAACAGATGTGATGTTTCTGGCAGGAGCACCAAGTAGCTGAGTTTGCTCTGGAAGGGGGTTCACCCAACCTATTGTTGGCCCTTCATTAGATGGTCCCACTAGATA